AGAGAGCAGCTGTCACATTCCCCCTTCCCACTGCTGCTGCAGGGCCACAGCTGGCAACGCGGCCCTCCGCACGGCTGCGCACAGGGGGAGTGGACACGTAGGAAGGGGCACATAGAGAAATCTTAGCACTTAGGAATTGACATACCAAGTCCCCTGAACTTATTAACTGCCTAAAAATAGCAGTTTTGAATCAAAGGTTTGCCTGATCCGTCCATGCCCGCATACCTGGAATAATTCAGCTGGGAGAGAAGCACTGACTGCTCCTGCAGCCCACAAAAGTCACAGAGCAGCAACCTGTCTTGTAACTTAAATAGATCCTGTAGCAAACTACAATTGGTGGTAAACTCATCATGTGTTGCTAATTAAAAAAAGAAGAGCATCACCTAAGTGCTGCATTGTTTTTGCTCATTTTTTTTAATCCTTTTTTCCCCCTCCACAGGTAAATGATTTGGGAAGGAGCTGACTAGAAAACCCAGTTATTTATGAGGCCCAAGAAACTCAGCAAGCTGTTACTTCCAGCCACTTCAAGCATCCAAGGATCTTGCAGGAGGAATGCAGACTCTCAACTCAGTAAGTGACAAACGCAGCAAATGCATATTTGACACTGCCACTCTAAGTACACCCATTCATAGACCTAAGCCAAACAGCAACACACCAACTCATGCACACATGCTCAGGGAAATTAACTCATGTTTTCACTAAATATCTCAAGACTAGGTTTCTAAAGATGGTGAAACCCTACCCAATGGCTCAAATATAGTTTTGCTTTTGTTTGTTACACCAGCCTCTATGTTTTGATCCTTCGATCCCCTGACCTACCCTAAACACACACTAACATCAGCCCGCAAACACTGTCACCTTCTAGTTTGTGCAGAAGCGCAAGTATATCAATACATCTTAGACTTGTCTGTACCTCCATCGCTGTTTCCTTCTTCTGTTATGATATCCAGAAGTCTCTCAAAGGCATTTTCAAAGGCAACAATCTTCTGTATGGCTGCATTACTTTTAGTCAATTGCTGTAACAGCAAGACTCCCTTGGCAGGTAGGTAAAAGAAGAAATTAAACTTACTTTTATTAGAACAACATTGCTTTTCACTGGTCACAGCTCTTAGAAGGATGCTCAATCAGCAGCATAACCCTTGGCCAGAGTCACAGGACAGAACCGCACGCCCTGCAGCTCGGCACATCTACCACCACCCACCACGGGCACCACACCGTAGTTCCCTTGTGCCTCACTGCACTTCAGCTAGAAGCAAAGTACTGCTCTCAAGGATGCTAAGTGGCTATGCAGAAACAAGAGGCAACTTGTAAAGCACCTCATCTCTTCTGCAGTAAATAATTAGAGCCTTTTGGCATCTGACGAGTAAAGAGCAAGAATTGAGGCAAACCTGACATAAGGCCAAGAGAAAGATCAGCTAACATGCTAGGAAACCCCTACACAAAGGTCAAGGTTGGTGTTAAATACACAGCAACAGTTTGCCTTAGTTCGTGTGAATGGTGGCGAGACATCCTTTGGATGTCCACCCAACACGTATGGTTGGCCACCCAACTCAAATGAGGAAGGAAAAATCCGCAATTAGCCACCACAATGATTTCTTCAAGTGCATTCTTTCACTTAATCCAAACTCTGCACGAGTACTAAGCCATTCAGTTGACAGTTAAGATTTACTGAGAGGAGAAACTGCCTTTGTTCTGCACTTACATCATTTCGTATGACCTCCCTAGAGTCTGCTAGTAGATCCATGAGTCGGGAAACACCTGCAAGAAACATTTTAAAAAAGCATTAAAAAGGTGCAGCTTTCTCATGCTGGACGTCTTTAGAACAGCTTGCTCGAGACTCCTCTAGCCTCTGCCATGTTTGCTGAGCTTCCAGCTTCAAGTTTCTCAGCAACCAACTCAACCACTCACCCATAGGGCTGACAAGAATTATCTGCTGCACTTGAGGTCCTTGCTGCTTTAAGAGAGACGTAAGTAGTTTCACTCCAGGCCAACGAACATGGAAATCAAATTCCTGCAAAAAGTGAATGCGTACATCAAGTAATAAAGTCCTCAGTATTCAACCTTCTCTGCTAGACACTACTTAGGAACAGATACCAAATGGATAAGAAACTTCATCTCCTGTCCATTTCTTTTTTCATCCATCCTCTTACAGCACATGGCCAGCAAGTCAAAACACTGTCCTATTCTGTGGGTCTTTATTTTATTATTATCAACTCTCAGCAGTTTCATTTCCTCCCTCTCCTCTGAGGTAGCTTTCCAGCTCTGCACAACGCTGTACACTTTTTCAGTAAACACAATTTCACACCAAGCTAGTTGCAGCAGTCACACTGCTCCACCTATAGGTTTTACCTGTCCTTAGGACAGATGCCTGCTTCTTCCAACATGCCCATCTCAGATTTGGATCATTAAAATCAACAGCACCCTGCTGCAGAGTAAGGCTCTACTTGAACTTGGAACAGACACATCAATCAAACGTATCCTGGATTTTCCTAAATTCAGTATTGCCTTCATGCATCTCAGGAGTATATGTTAAGCCAACCTTCCACACTTGCTAAGTAGTTTTATTGGACTGTGAGCCACAAAAAAGTTTCAGAAGGATAGTTTGACTAACTCACTAACTGTAGTCTGCTAAACTGTGCTGCCAATTAACCTTTCCATCTACTGTGGTCAAAATTAGGCACTCAGGGATTAAACCTCAAATGTACTGACAGATTTTAAACACGGCTGCAAGAATGACTTAAGTTCCATATGAGAAGAGTAGAACATCATCTTTTTACCAAAGATGGCCTATGAAGAGAGACGTGTGGGGGGAAAAAAAAAGAGATGGACATGGCTTTTTCTCTGAAGCACCATCATGTGCTTAGTCTGGAAACAAAATTTTTAACAGTTGAGAAGAAAGTGGCAGTCCTTGAGGATAAAACCATTGGAAAATGAGTCAAACGTATCACACTGATGGAAAGCAATCACCCTTCCTGCTTGAACTGCATCTCAACTGACATGACTACCATTATCTTGTAATGATCATCTGAAAAATAATCCTTCCACCAGTGACAACAGTTGCTGTTTATGGAGCAATTATTTTTACTGTTTCTAATCAAATAGCTCCAACTCTTTCAATGTCACCCTGCTTTAAAAGCTGCACTAGTGGCATTCATCCATGTCATAGTCTTCACTCACCTCCAACCCCACGTTCACTATGTGTAGGAAAACCTCCATTTGACATAGGCTTCACAAGACAGAAACAGCTTTATCCATTAAGGTAACCTCCCTGTACAGCACTCCGTGTCTGTCGCTATTCCAAGTATCACAGTGGTACTCACCTCCACAAGAGTCAACAGGAGCGTGACATTTTCTTGCTGTTTAATGAAAATCTCCGTGAACTGACTTCCCAAATCATCTACTTGTTTTGGTAAGTTTTCTTCTGTAATAGTGAAAAACAACGTTATTACAACACATGATTGCAAGAACTCCGGGTAGTTGTGACTTGAGTTTTTAACCAAAATAAGGCCACGGATGACCAAAAGGTTTAGAGTCACTGCTGTAATGTTAATATAATTATTTTCTAACAAACACTGACACAAGCTTCGCACGAAAGACAATCTAGGTTATTCTAAAAATAGCTTTTAATGAGAAGCGTTTGGTTTTAAAAACAGGAGGGAAGCAACAATCTACTAAACCTCATGTCAGCATTTGAAGAAAAAAAAATCCTATTTCCACTGATCATGTCCAACCAGATTGACAGTTGTCACCCCCACAGTTGCCTGATATAGATATTACCAAGCACACTCTTCAGCGAGCAGAAAATTCAGAGAGAAAAAGAGAAGCCTCCCAGCAGAGGAGGAGCAGAAAGTCTCAAACTGGCTACGTCCACATGCAGCTGAACTGATGCAGTAGAGAAGTTCCTCCTAAGGACCACTCACTCGTGTGCAAAAACCAAGTACATTTCCTACCACGAGCCTGGAAGGGAACATAAACCACCTAAAACTCAACAGCTCTAACACCTCCTTCGCTTATTTTGGTTTGGCAATAGCTAGAGATCAAAACATCGGGAAAGGAGAGTTAATTTCAATCAGATGAGCTTCAAAACCTCTCAGGAATTAATTCCTCAAGGGAAACAAAGTGTCATTCTGTTCTTTACTCTTCAGTTGTGCAGAATTGCACATAAATTTCATCTTAAACAACTATTTCATCACTGTCCCACAAACAAAGAACACACACATCCATATCCCACAGAAGAAGAGAAAACGTGCAAACAGCATCTCCGCACTGCTGCTGCTTTCCTAGGCTGAGTGACAATTCACAAAGCCTTTTCACAAACCAGTCATCCGTAGGCACTACAGGTTGGCATAGTTGAGGGATTTCACTTGAAAAACTGGCAGAGCAATTCTAATTGAAAGGGAGTTTTTTATTACACTTGCATTTTGGAGGGGCAGGGAAGACCTTTCATTGAAGCCCAGAACAGCTTCTGAGCCCTCAGGTTTGCTGCTGCTTAGCAGCAGTCCAAATCCAGTCCCACTCAGCAGAGATGGGAATTCAGTTGAGCGTGACACCAGTGGCCACTCCGTCAGAAACAAGTCTCTCACTGAGTTGAAAAAAAAACAGACTGGTCCTTTGCTGGGTTGTGTTTACACCAGGTTTCTGGGAACAGCACAGAAAGCCAGTGGGCACAAGTAAACGGCTGGGAACAAAACACAGGTCACATCCACTCACATCCACCTCCAGCCAAGCACCCTTCTCCCTACAAAGCTCCCTCTCCCCATGCATGCCCTCAACACCTTGCTGCCACCCTGCCTTCTCTCTCCTGCCCCATCGAGCCTGCTGCCTCCTGCACAGCAACAGCTCAAAGCGTCAAGCACAGAAAACATGTGATAAAGCCCCTGAATTTCTGACCAAATCCAAAGGTCTGATTTGCTTGAGGCAAGGCAAAACAAGGATTTTTCCTCCTGCTTAAATTGCAGCATTCACAGCCCTATCAAGGGGTCACTAACAAACCAGTAACAACTCAGCAGCTGCAGAAAGGGTCAAAGACCACACACTGTTCAAACTCTGTGCCTTGTTTGGGGTATGGCAGGGCAGAGAAATCAAAGGACTCCACCATAGCAATTTGGTGCCCAGAAAACAACTGAAATTCCATCAACCCCATTCAAACTGTTGGCGATGGTGATTGACTGACATTATCAGCTCGTAAGACCTAATCAGGATTTTTAACACAGGAAAGAGGTTTTTGTTTGGCCATTCCGACAGAGCAGCTGATGGTTTCTCCTGTAGTGGAGTTCTCCCCTGAAACAGGCTTATTATGTAGCTTACAAGAAGGGAAAGAAGCAGCACCACTCTGCTGTACGTTTTTAGCTACACAAACTGTAAAATACTAACCCAATATTACAAAAAAGAGGACAGACTGTGTGCCAAAGTAACTCTAGCCCAGGCCTGCAGCATCTCCCAATACACAGGTCTGATAATGAGCACGCTGAAGCTGAGGGGCTTATCTAGTCTGAGTCACTCCTGACTTAAATGAATAAATAATCATCAAAAATAAACGAGCAAAGCCAACTCTGCAGAAGTTCATTGCTGCCCTTCGTGCTGCAGAATTAGAGACATCTCAGCTGAGAAGCACACAGGCACAGCACGGGCTGGAGCGTGCTGCAAACCAAGGAAAGCCCACAGACCTCAACTTTTTTTTTGTTAATAGATGCCTAAGTCAAAGGGCTTCAGGTTGAACTTTCCGTGCACTGTGAATGAACATCTTATCCTTTACCCAAATTCAGCTACAAACAGCAAGTGTTTGAACTATGGATTTCTCCTCACCCCACCTCCTGCCCTTGCACAAGTCCCAGGTGCTAAGGCCAAACCTGACCATTACGCACAATTTCCACAGCCTCTTACAAGTCTGCTGTACTTTTTACTTATTACAAAAGCTTGACTGTAGTAGAGATGTTTAGAATTATTCTATAAAAGGGCCAAATAAAAGTTGTCATCTTCTTTTCCCCTCTCCACTTTTGTTTTTTCCTATCAGTATTTCTTCTAGTAAATTTAAAAAAAAACGTAGAGAGGAGCCAGACAGAAACAAGCAAAGTCAAATTGCATCTTCTACTTACGTGGGTATACCACAGACCTTGCAACCAGACTTCTACCCATAATTGCTCTTAAATCTACACATTCACAGGGCTCAAATAAAGACAACATTCATCTATTCAGATTAACTCTCAGTGATTCACCAACAAGCAGCACTGCAAACTAGAATTTAGTCTGAAAATAAATAGATTAAGCATGCATTTTGATAAAACTAGTTCAAAAAAAAAACAGAACATACCAAGTGTTAGTGGTAAACTTGGGGTAGAAGCCCACAGTATTTTAACATGCATTGCTTCAAAGGGACACTGTGAAGGATGCATCTGTGCCGCACGCGTGTGTGTCACCCTTCAGGGCTTCTTGGAAACAGACACTCTGTTGGGAACCTTTTGCCCATGAAAATCCTACCAGTGCTGAAGCCGCACGCTTTCCTAACATTCTAAACAAGAATTGATCCTTTTTAGTCTTGAGACATCTGCTGGCATTCAACATGCCCAAATCACATGAGAAATGAAACTGGGAAGATGCTTCAGCTCCGAAGAAAACAAAGAGCAGAAAGCAGAAAGCTCTCACTGGGCAGCAGTGCAAATCTTCACAGTGTCCTTTTTGAACCGTGAGCGTTATGGGTGTGAATAGCAACCAGGCCTAAACCAAAGTGCCATATTTATAGAAGTAAAGGTTCTTTTACCTTCAGAATCATCTGTCAGTGCAGATAAAAGAAAAAGAAACAAGAGAAAGGTTTACAAGTTGAACAGCTTTCCAAACAGCACAACCAACAGCAGCGTAAGCTTTAACTTTCCAAGCAGCAATCCTAGCCTTCTAGCAGCAGTTACTCCTTCAGGTACTTGTTGACATGGCCCAACTCAACGACCCCATACTCTTACAATACTGGTGATGGCACATAAATAACTCAAGTTGGTCAACTCTTGGCTTTCCATAAGAGACATCTAACAACATTCTCGTCAAGTCCAAAATGACAGCCACTGCCATGAACATGAATTGACCAACACTGTCAACGCTGATCTTGTTCAAAACCTCTTTGATCAAGATCAGGCAACTAGATGAACAAGGAAAAGAAGGGCAAGTCAGCAAAACGACAGTTGGAGAGATGGTTATGAAAAACATACAATTGAAGGTTTTCAGCTTGCAAGTCTCTTGCAGCTACGTAAGACGAGACAGTGGGGAACAGTAGAAGGCACTGTGTAAGGACATACTGCACAAAGTAATGCCAACACACTGGCAGAAACATATTCACACTGGAGAACCCTCACCGACTTTCCATAAGGTTATTTATCACTTAAGGACCCTTTAAAGAGGTATCTTGAGGTAAACAGTGCACAGAAGAGACTTCAACTCAAACAGCACTATCACCTTATACTTTGCACATTCACAGGAGCCTTGCCACTTCAGTACATGTAATGGAAACTAAGAAATGAGATGCAAGTGCTGTCACAAACTAGAAAGACTCAAGGCCCATGGCAAATGCAGGATGTTACAAACCCACAGATCAGTCACCTTAAATGTAACCTGCTGCTCGCACCATGTTCATGCTTGCTCAAGAAGTCCAGTCTTTTTTTGGACAAGCTGGTAGGATGGATATTCATGTTCATTGACCCCAAAGCAGAACGGATATCCTACAAGACTTGATTTTTAATTGATGTTTTCCACTTACAACCTTGGAAAGCAACTCTACGGCCGTTTGGCTTCAATTACTAGTTTAAACACTGAGCAAGCCAAGACCTCATTTGCAGAAATGAACAGAAGTGGTTTTCCCAATAACGTTTGCAGCAAGGCCCAAGTGAGAACTTGGAGAAGTCAACTGCATGCCACAGTTGGCTCTATGACACAACCTGCTTCCATTTAACAGCCAGTGACCTTTCTGGTAGAGCCACCTACTTGGCAGCTGCCTCCATGACTGCAATTAGTACCTGGTCTCCTTTCTCCACAGTGATGGCAACAAGAGCAAGTGCACACAAGCTCAGCATTTCACTGATGTCCTTCTCTGATTGATATCTCCTCCCGAGCTAGCACTTGCACAGCCCTCAGCCACATCCCGTTCCCATTCTCCAAACACTTCCTTGATGCCAAGAACAGGGCAACTTGGACTGTGCTGCCCTCTGCACCATTCACCCTTCAGAAGCCTGAAACAGTTGTAACCCAGAGCTGGTTTGCTTGTCAGAAGCATCTGGCTCTTCTTCAGTGTGGGCACTGGCAGGTCCTATTCCTTTATTTAGTTTTAGCAACTTCTTGCCCAAGCCTAATTTGGGTTACTGCTGCCATTTTCTTCCACGTACTGAATTTTCTGTGAAATATGAGGTTATTTTCAGGAGCTGTATCTGTTTCTTTGGCCTTTGAGACCACTTCTGATGGCCTATCAAGAAAGGCCTCGCCAAGTAAAATAAAGGCAAGAGGGTCAGGTTGTTTAGCAGCCTAACTGTACAGCCTCTACTTCTACATCTCCCTTGGGAAGGACAGCCAGTCTCTTTCTAAAACGGCACAGCAGGGCTGGAAAAGAAGGTTTTCACTCTTCTGTATAGCCACCTTATCATAGATCCCTGAGATTTTTATCTTTCCATGTCCTTGTTAAATAATCAGACAGTAGCATCCCACTTGACAGTAACAGCCCCAACAGTCCTTCCCCCCCGTAGCAAAGAAGCAATCAATTCTTCACTTACGAACTAGAAAAAACAGTGAATTATCCAGTTCTCTGGCTGCTGTTCACAGAACACAGTTTTTACAATAAATAAGCAAGAAACCCAATATCACTTGAACGCAAACTGCGTACAACAGCATTTTTAGCATTGTCATAACAGCTACACAATAACAAAGCAAGTCTCAGCGTTAGTAAATCACAGCGTATTACAGGTGATAATTTGAACAAAACCACCAAGGAAAGGACCCCCCACCGTTACGACAACTATTACTACCAAGCGCTTACCTTGCTCCTCCTCTTCTAGGTCATTCGATATTACATTGTAGAGAGTGTCCAAGGCATAGCCAATTATTTCAGAATCTGAACTGCAAACGAAAGAACCACTTTTCTTTAATGACTTATTTCCAACTACTCTTACAACATTGTTTTTCTGCACAGGCAGTTCCCTTTGCAGCACTAGATCAAGTGATGTTGACAGACATTGTGTAATACCAGGTAACCATGAGCTGTGCAGCCCCTAAGTGGAGTCAAACTCCTTTTCCCGGTTCCATTCCCCCAGGAAGCCACATCCAGAGAGGGTGGTGGCACAGGATGACCACAGGAAGCTTCATTGTATGCCTGTCTTGCATTTCCTGAGTCACTCCTTCCAACCTGCTCCTCAAGTAGACCAGAAGAAATCTCTGACAGGGATTCGGACCCCTTCCCAAAACTCACCCAAGGAAGCTCTAGACAAGCTTCTACACCATCTCAGAAAGACCTCCCGGCCATCCCCTTGGTGAGATCCATGGGCCAAGAGCTTTTGCTCCACGTGAACGCAATGACAACAGCCAGAGGTTCTCCAAACAGGGCACCCTCTGTGTCACCAACTTGGACTACACCCAGTCATTAAGGGGTTTTGAACTCCAAGCAGCCCCAGGAAGCTGCTGGGCAGCCAGCCTAATCCCCAGGCATCAGTTCACCTGCTTACAGCCAGGCTCTTCTCTTAACCTGTTTCTTCTGTGCTACAAAGACCCAACAATCTGTAAACACTATGCTACAACAAAGACACAGTGCAAGAGTTTGAGGGGGTTATGGGGAACATAACTGTTTTTGCTGTTTGCTTTGATGCTCATAAATCAAAAAAGTATGAAAGCACAGCTGGTCAAAACACAAAGGCAAATAAAACCCAGCATGACAAAGGAGGACACACCTCACAGCGTGATCGTGTCTGGCCCAGGCATCAGAAGAGCACACTGCCAAAACAAGACCTCTCATTCCAAGTTCTAAGTATGTGCTTTCGCTGATCTCCAAGGCCTCCACACCAAAGATAAATTTGCATTTTTAAGAAGCTGCTAGGCCGGTTCAGACCCACCAGGTTGGATAAGATGGAATGGAGCAATCCTACCTACACTTCTCACTACAGCCAGGGCTTTAGCAGCTGTCCAAGCAACACCTCGCCTCCCTTTCTACCACTCTCAGGCTAAACCAAAAGCTAGAAATGATCAAGGGTCAGCATAGGTTGTTCTTTCACATTGTGAATTGAATCCTTGTCCTGCTGATGTCCTCCCCGGACACAGGCACTCTTCCTCAGTGTCTCACTCAACTCCTACCTCCTGCTTTTAACCTGCACTGTAATGGAAACAAATGGGGAAAAAAAAACCAACATCTCCTCCTGTGCCAAACTGTTAGTCAAAGCAAGCAAAGGAAGCTTTCAGTCCATGTAAATACTCTCATCCAGCAGGTATGCTCAGATTTCCAGCCTGCTCATCTTCTTTTTATGGTAATTTTGCTTTTTCAACAAAATACTACAAAGGCTATGGCTTCCTTTTCATGTAACTGAAACAATTCGACTTCTAAAAAACACAAAGGAATTATTACCTGGAAACTTTTTTTTAAAACGCAAAACCCCACACCACAAAGCTGCAGCATTGCTCTTCATTTCCCTTGTTAGGGAATCACAACAGCTACAAAAGAATAAACCATTTTTCAGGTAGATGTGGTAAAAGATGACCTTGTTTCTCTTGTCAGAAAAGGAACCCATGACAAAACAAGGACAGCAGCATCCCGTCTTTCCTGTTCATTGCCTGACTACCATCCACTGTCCACCACACACAATATTTTATTGATTATTCTGTTCAAGCTGAAGCTGTACAGCTTTTGCTCTGTAGTGAAAATGACTCAAGAAATGCACCTCCTATTTCTCATCCATCCATAAAAAAACCCACAGCTTTTAAGCAATGTAACCATCCAGCACAAGCCACCTTCGCCATCTGCCCTCTGCCAGCTGGGCTTTGGCGTGGCACCCGGGCAAGATGTCAGTGCAGCGCTCCACGAGGTCACCAACAACAGCAGAGAAAAACCACATGGAAGTGAAGGTACCCACATATTGTCCTGCCCATGCAGGGTGCCTCAAAAAGGCTTTTATCACCTGTTCTCCTGAAACTATAGCATTTCACTGCCAGAAGAGAGACAAGCATCACTTTACAGTTCAAAAACTTGGACCTAAGAGCACATGAATAACTGCTCTTGAGCATTAAGAAAAAAAGTTAGTCTTTCTCTTCGGTTCGTAGAACTAAGAAAACTGTTAGAATTGTCACACTGAAATTTAAAAACCTTGTTACTTAAGTAGACCCAAGGCAGTTAAAGATCAAGCTGACTTCTCACCCTGGTGCCTTCTCCCACACCAACAGTTAAGCGGTACTGGCCTGTTCTAGTCCATGCCACATCTTTTTCAAAATAATCCCTGGTGGGATGTGGCAACATCTAGACAGCAAGTCAGGCAAAGTCGTCTAGTAGATCACAGTTCCTACCTCATGTTACCAATAAACACATGGCATTAGATGACTGGTGTGTGTAAGCATCTGGAACATTTAAAGGCTGACTCAGCAGTGTTAGCGGGCTCCAGGATGGCTGAGGCTCATGCCTAAAAAACTAGGGGAAGAAGTTAGTTTGGTACAGAACAAGTTTCAAGTACTCAGGCAAGAGAGGGCTTAAGGCAATCTACAAGTAAACCGCTTAACAAGTGGAGAGACACGTTCATTTCGGAGACACAAGTGGTGTATTTCTGTTCCAAGATAAAGGCTATAAATAGATCCAAGCAACAGTTTTCATTTCTGAGGACAGAAATGAAGCGAGGACACGGGAAGTGCTCACCATTTCAGCTCAGCCATGCAAACCAGGACTTTTCCCTACTAAAGTTAGGAGATAAAGCTATAAATGCCCCTCGCCTCATACTAACAACTTCAGAATTAAGGAAACATCAACATGCCTTGTAACACAAAAAGCTAAAGAAAAGTTGAAGTCACTACAAGGGAAGTCAATGATTAGCACAACAAGGAGGCTGCAAAGGAAGGAAAAAACTACTGCTACAGAGCTACTTGTTCATTATCACTTCAAATTCCAAGATAAGGAACAATTGATTCACCAAAAATCAGGAGATAGACCAGGGAGGAGAGAAAACTACGTTTCCACTCACGGGCTACATGAATAACAGTTAACATAATTCTCAGAAACCATAAGAGCTGTGCTATCATATTTGGCTGACCAGGTCCTAAAACCAAATGACCTTTCAATTAGATAGTGATTTCTCAATGAGCTTATTTGCATTAGGAAATATTCATCTCTTATCAGCAAAGTTGATTCAATTTTTCATATTGCTGTTTCATATTCCAGCAACAGCAATGCTGCTGAAGATCTAAAGTCATGCATCTCCAACCATCCCGTTAATTTGGGGTAAATACATAATAGGAAAGCATGTTCACACTAGTCACTGCTCTCACGTTACGGTACTCTACACCAGCTATCCATTCCACACCTCCAGGCTCTGAGAATTCCGAGACCCATGCCTGCTGCTGGCTCCCCGCCCTGTAATTCCTTCCACCCTAACACTCCTTCCCCACAAAGGCAGCTGGAGAGCACATGAAGCCTCACCTGATGCAGCCCAACCAAGCTCTGCTTCTACTCAACTGGAACGAGGAGAGGAATCCCAAGGATCACGTTCACTTTCTAATGCACACAGAAAACAGGAACTACAGGCGTACATCCAAGACAACAGGCAGACAGGTGTGGAACATGTCGAGCCAGTAAGATAGCAACCATCAGCAGCTTCATGGTCAAGAAGCTTCACCTCAGGAGCTCAGTCACCCATCTTCAGGCCAACCTAATAATCACTGAAGAATCATACTTCGCTAAAGCTAAGCTACAGAGGAAAACAAAAGTCACTATTTTGACTTCAGCACACTCTTTTTGTGGTCCTTGCCTACTTCTAATCATGTTAGACCTTACGTAATCTTAAACTTGACAGCAACACAGTCCATGTACAGGATCAGCACACGAGTCACTCACATGAATAGTGTGACATGTCAGAAGACAACTTGAGTCAATCCTTGACTCCTGTTTTCTCTCAAGTTGCATTGCTGCTTCTTAAGCATCATCTTAAGCAGCTTCAATGCAAAAAAAAAATAGAGGACAGGTGAAGTAAATGAGCATTTTCCATTTCTGCAGAAAGCCTGAGGGTGCCTCATGTGGACACTGAAATGCTCAAAGATGTCATCTACAGAGGGGTTTCACAGTTTCACACACTGAAACAGTGATGACAGTACAACAGCACCTGCTTGTCAGGCCACCACCCTCTGACTTTAATAGGCCAGTCACACCAGGAATCAGGGACAACTGAGCCTACGACTCATTTATCAACCAGTTATTCAGATGAGCTGGCTTTAATTTGTATTCCTACTGCAAGAGTCCCCAAAGCCTCACCTCTACAATGGCTGACACCTAACCTTGCACCCACATCACCTGTAACACACCTGAATTTACCAGGCACAGGGGCTACAACTAGAGCTCTCTCAAATGAACCACAGCATACAACACCCAGGTCAGCTGACATGCTGCTCCAACATAAAACATGCCATAGGAAATCCATCTATCATCGTGGTGGAAGACAACATTTTTTTTCAGCTGAAAACCCATAAAGATCTATGAAACCAGAAAGGTCTAGGGACTGTCATTTGAACTGCAGCCTGACTCACACACGACATCAGCACACACAAATTCCAAAGGGACAACTGGAGCTCAAAAGCACAGAGAAGCTCCCAAGTTCCTGCCCTGCCAGTTGGGGTTTGCATCTCTAAGGCAAGGAGATCAGCAGAGCCCCGCCTCCCTTCTCCAAGTTCCAGTCTGGCCTCAAGAAAAGATCAGGGGATGAAAGCAGGAGCCTTGACCTGATTCTTGGAAGGGCTTCCCCTTGACGTCCCTGACAGTCACTCCTATAAGCTTCCCTTCTACTGTTTGCCTTGTACAAGCTGCACGTAGGCCAGACATTCATTTGTAACCACCCGGCCAACGGGACGGCAGTAATGCCTCCTTCGAGACCCTGGACTGCTGCTGACCTAATCCTGCTTCACCTTGACATCAGGAAACACTTCTCATCTACACACATGCAGGAAATCCACATTTGCCCTTACGACTGCGGGGTTTTTCCTACCTTTACCAGCTTCGTGTTCACATCCCGACTGAAGGAGTGTCACAAAGCACTCGCCTACCTCAGCACCAAGTCTGTGCAGTGTTTGAGGCTGCAATCCGAGCAACGCAAACAGGTTCCACGTTACAACCCCCAGGTACTATCTAGCACAGCAATGCTATCAATCGCTAAAAGAGCTGGATAGCAAAGATGTCTTAAATACTGGAGTGCATAAATAGCACATTCTGGATCACATGAAGTATTTAGACTAGTGTCATCTGTCTTAGCAGCAGCCATGGAGCCCAGCTCTCCTGCTTTCTTGAGCCCTTCAATATAAACTCCTCACAACAGGATTATTCTACCAGTTCCTTCGATGACACACAGCTGAGAAATCATGTTTGCTGACTTCATCTGTTTTCCCTTAATTCTGTCTAGTTCACTTCTTGCCCAACAACAGCTCCATGTGGGTTATTTCCAATTCTCTATTGACTTAATCTTGTCATTTTCAATTGACCTTTCCATAGTAGTGGAAACTGACCACTAGGAAGCATCAAGACACACTTTGATATCATCTTTAATCTAACCCTGGTCTTTCAGTCCCTTTCACCCTAATTCCTGAAATTCTGTTCTTTTCACCCCTGAACATGCTCTGAATAAGTCTGTCATCATTAAAAGCCACCGTGACAGAAGAGCTGTTAGAAACCCAGCTTCCCTCCCAGCTTTACCAGTATGCAGAACCAGTCTGTATTTGTCCATTAGGGCAAAAGAGAAGGGTCAGGTTAGCAGCTGGAGGTGGCTACCAAAACTCAGCAACGCGCTTACCGGTCTGTCTGAAGAACGTGGATGAGATGTTCCATAGCCTGTATGCCTACCTCCAGTCGGTATTTCTACTCGGAAAAAAAAAAAAAATGAAGAGTTAAGTGTCTAGCCCGAAATCCAAACAAAGCTTTTTAAGCAAAACAGGACAAAATTATTGAAAACCCACACGGCTCCTCGGGAAGTTCAATACTTACCTTGGATAATGACTTAAGAGCACGCACAGCATCCCTGCGGTCATCCAACAAGGTGGAAGAAGCTACTCGGTCGCACAGCTTCTGGATCTGGAAACAGACAAGATAAAAGACAAAGAGGCCACGACTCCATACCAGATTCCCAAACATTCCACGAAATCCAGCCTGATTCCAATAACAACATGGACGTGCAGTTCATTTCCCACATTCAACTGATAAATTCATTTCTCTGCGCAGAACACGGTCGGGCCACTCGCCAAACCCCCGCGGGTTACGGAACCCCCCGGGGCGCGCTCGGCAGCGGCGCTGGACACTGA